TATTTCTGTCAATGGCTGCATTGCCCAGATGTTCCTTTTTATCCTCTTGCCTGGTGCTGAAGCTTTCATTCTCTCTGCCATGGCTTATGACCGCTACGCTGCCATCTGTGATCCATTACATTATGTTCAGACAATGAGGAAAGGGATTTGTGTTCAGCTGGTTAGTGGTGCGTGGACAATGGGCTTCTTCAATGCCCTTCTTAACACAGTTTTTGCCCTCAAGTTGCATTTCTGTGGGCCCAATCAAATCAGCCATTTCAGCTGTGAGCTCCCTCCTCTGTTACAACTGTCCTGCACTGACACCCTCACCAATCAAGTGGTGCTACTTATTTCTGCTTTGGTATTTGGTTTGAGCTCCTTCCTCCTCACCCTAATCTCCTACATTCACATCATCTACACCATCCTGAGGATACGCACTGCGGAGGGCAGGCGTAAAGCCTTCTCCACCTGCAGCTCCCACCTGATTGTGGTTGGCTTGTTGTACGTGACAGGTTTTCTCCAGTACACAAAACCCAGCTCAGTCTCCTCTGTGGTTCTGGATGAAATGTTCTCCATCCAGTACAGCATCTTGACCCCCTTGTTAAACCCCATTGTCTATAGCCTGAAGAACAAGGAGGTTAAAACAAATCTAAGGAATATATTGTGGAAATTCAGGTTTCTCAATTAGTGTTGATTCTCTCTTCCCCCCCCCCCCCCCCCATATAAAATCCGTGCAAGGGATGGTGTGAGTATATGGATGTGCAGATGTACATTCTGTAGTCTCTCTATCTGCCTTACTAAATTAGAGTGTTTGTAACTTTGCTAAATGTAATAATGAACTAGTCAGTGGTCTTCCAAATTCTTTGATTTCTGTACTGCTTCTTCCAATACTTCAGTCTCCCCAGTTCTTGGTTTTCAAAATATTCCTCTCTCCAGGCCAGAAGGAAGAGTACCATATGGCCAGATTTCCAAAGATAGATGCCTACTGGGATTTTCAAAAGCATCCAGGTACATAACTCCCTTTGAAGTCAATGGGAGCTAGGTAGTCCTAGGTACTTATCTGTGTCTTCAGTTACTTAAAGACCTTTTAAAATATGGCCCGCAGGCCGTTGGAGGACAATGAATCACTGATTGAGATCAGCTGTGCTAGACAATAGATATTCGTTTCTTCCTTGATTGACAAGCCTTCATGAGTAAGATTCCCATCCAATGTACTTTTTTAAAACTCAAATCCTTAGGTTTGATCTCAACTTTAACTCAGACCTTACTCCCTGTAAAGCTTCCACTGACTGAGTGAAAATTGCATTTCAATGTATGTTGGGTGCTTAACTCCCTTAGGCTCCTTTGAAAATTCCAGCTTCCATTGCTTTACACACAGAAATCATAATTGCACTCTTCTCAGGCAGACCTTAAGGCGCGCAACAAAACAAGGAAGAACAAAGTCTTGCCTGAGAGAGCACCATGGGCATTTCTCCTTTATAACAAACTACAACATTTTCCCTCATGAAATGGAAAATGCAGGTGGCATTTCTAGAAGTGCCTAAATGATTTAGAGCACAAGTCAATGGGACTTGGTTGACCAAGTTACCTGAAAGAGGAAGTGGTGCCCCTTCTTCCAACCATTAGCCCAGTGTTAATTACTGGTGTTCTGGAAGACCTGGGTTCAATTCCCCATTCTACCTCCTGTAGACCAGGGACTGAAACTTTGACCTCCCAGCTGAAGGCCCTAACCACCATTATATAAATACATGGGGGTGGAGTTTTCTCAAGTTTTTCTATTGAAGGCTATTCCACTTATATAAAATACTTGGCTAGTCATTGGGCTAAAATTACACTGTAGCTCAGGGTTAGGAGACTCCTTTGGTAGGTTCAACTCATTGGTCCATTGAGTATTTTTTTTTAGTTATTTATACATTGTAGAACAGCTTAGATACTCCAGAATACCTTATAGCCCAGATATTAAGGCACTTTCCTCAGAGATGGGAGATCTCACTTCAAATCTCTGCCCTCCCCCCCACCCCCAGGTAGAGAAGGGAAGAGAACCATGGTCCCCCATATGCAAGGAAAGTGACCTAACCAATGGACTGAAGTTACAAGAAAAGCAACAGCAGAGGGACTCCTGTACCTCTTGTTGTTTTGTGAATTTAGCCCAATATTTTTTTTTCTGCTGAAACAATTCAGTAAAATTTGTTTTAAAATCATGAATAATTTTGCGTTGCCCAAAACTTCCTTTTTGGTGAAAAACAACAAGGAGTCCAGTGGCACCTTAAAGGCTAACAGATTTATGAACAGGAGGCTGCCAGGCAACTCTCCAACACCACATTCTACAGGCCACTATCCTCTGATCCCACTGAGGAATACCAAAAGAAACTACTTCATCTGCTCAAGAAACTCCTGGCTACAGCATGGGAACAAATCTACACGGACACACCCCCAGAGCCCTGACCACGGGTATTTTATCTGCTACCTAATATCCATAAACCTAGAAACCCTGGATGCCCCATCATCTCAGGCATTGGCACTTTTTCAGCAGGATTATCTGGCTATTTGGACTCTCTCCTCAGACCCTACACTCCCAGCACTCCCAGCTATCTTCTAGATACCACCGACTTCCTGAGAAAACTACAATCCATTGGTGATCTTCTTGAAAACATCAGCCTGGCCACCATGGATGAAGAAGCACTTTACACCAATATTCCACATGAGGATGGACTACAAGCTGTCAAGAACAGTATCTCTGATGAGGCCACAGCACGCCTGGTGGCTGAGTTTTGTGACTTTGTCCTCACCCACAACCATTTCAGATTTGGGGACAACTTATACTGTCAAGTCAGTGGCACTGCTATGGGTACCTGCATGGCCACACAGTATGCCAACATTTTTATGGCTGACTTACAACAACGCTTCCTCAGCTCTTGTTCCCTAGTGCCCCTCCTCTACTTGCGCTACATTAATGATATCTTCATCATATGGACCCACGGAAAGGAGGCCCTTGAAGAATTCCACTATGATTTCAGCAATTTCCACCCCACCATCAACCTCAGCCTGGACAGTCCACACAAGAGATCCACTTCCTGGACACTACGGTGCAAATAAGTGATGGTCAGATAAACACTACCCTATACCAGAAACCTACTGACCACTATACTTACTTACATGCCTCCAGCTTCCATCCAGGACACATCACATGATCCATTGTCTACAGCCAAGCCCTAAGATACAACCGAATTTGCTCCAAACCCTCAGACAGAGACAAACACCTACAAGATCTTTACCAAGCATTCTTAAAACTACAGTACCCACCTGGGGAAGTGAGGAAACAGATTGACAGAGCGAGACGGGTACCCAGAAATCACCTACTACAGGACAGGCCCAACAAGGAAAATAACAGAACACCACTGACCATCACATACAGCCCGCAGCTAAAACCTATCCAGCGCATTATCAATGATCTACAACCTATCCTGGAAAATGATCCCTCACTCTCACAGACCTTGGAAGGCAGACCAGTCTTCGTTTACAGACAACCTCCCAACCTGAAGCAAATACTCACCAGCAACTACACACCACACCACAGAAACACCAACCCAGGAACCAATCCCTGTAGCAAACCCCATTGCCTACTCTGTCCCCATATCTACTTTGGCGACACCATCAGAGGACCCAACCACATCGGCCACACCATCAAGGGCTCATTCACCTGCAAGTCTACTAATGTTATATATGCCATCATCTGCCAGCAATGCCCCTCTGCCATGTACATTGGCCAAACCAGATAGTCCCTATGTAAAAGAATTAATGGACACAAATCGGACATCAGGAATGGTAACATACAAAAGCCAGTAGGTGAACACTTCAATCTCCCTGGACATTCTATAACTGAAGTCTGTTTCTGAAGTGTTTTTTGTTCAAGAATAGTGACTTTTAAATCTAAGAGAGAGAGCAAAACTAAAATTTATTGACAAATTTAACACCATTAATTCGGGCTTGAATAGGGACTGCGAGTGGCTGGCTCATTGCAGAAGCAGCTTTGCCTCTCTTGGAATTGACACCTCCTCATCTATTATTGGGAATGGACTACATCCACCCTGAATGAATTGGC